GCTAAGCTGAGGAATGACATTGAAAACCTCCTGGTTGTGACTGCTAACGAGATGTGGAATCAGTTCAACAAAGTGAACTTGTCTTTCACCAATCGCATCGCCGAGACTACAGACGCTAAAAATAAGATTCAGGTTCACTTAGCCAAGGTAAATCAAGCACCAGCGGTACCTCTTAGCTGACCCGATGCCCTGGGACCACAAATCTCTCACCACTCCTCGAAAGACACTGTAAGGCACATGACCTTCTGGCCATTCAGAGCAAGAAAAATTAAAAACAGTACAAAGCATACCATTTATTTCAGCCAGGTAGCCAGATGTCAAAATGAAATTGGAAGCCACTGGTGTCTGGAACACAAAGAAAGCACTATGTAATGAAAGGTCCTTAGTTTTTAATAGAAACAAAAATATTATTATTAAAGTTTAATGAATCACTGTATATAACTAGGAAGTAAATTTATTATTAGAACATATGGTAGAAACGTTTTCTGTTAAATTATTTCAGACCCTTTTCCTGAAATACAACACTAAGTACAGGAAACTCTTAGGTAATTGAAGGTGTTTCTGATATTGAAAAATTTTAAATGTTCTATGTCTAAGAGTTTTGCAGTGACACTGGAATGAGGGATTTCTGTGGATCATGTTGATACTTTGTTGTTCCTTATTTTTTTTTTTTTTTAATTTCAGGATATTAGAGGGTACACATATTTTGTTCACAAACTTTGTTTTTGTACAGGTTGAGTCAAAGTTGTACACGTGACCGTGCCCTTCACCCAGACAGTGTGCCCTGTACCCAGTAGGCACCCATCCCCACCTCCCCCTCCTGCAGCCTCATTGCCATTGACAGTTCTACTCCACATGGGCACTTGACTATTGATTGCTCAGTTCCAATTTGGTTTTGAGTACACATGTTGTTTCTCCATCTTGTGATGTTTCACTCAGAAGAATGGTTTCCAGCTCCCTCCAGGTTGTCCAAAAAGCTACTAGATCCTCACTTTTTATGGCTGAGTAGTACTCCTAGTAAGCATGTACCACATTTTATTAATCCTTTCATGTGTTGTTGGGCACTTGGGTTGTTTCTACATCTTTTCAATTGTGAATTGTGCTGCCATGAACATTTGAGTGCACGTGTCCTTTTAATAACACAATCTTTTCTCTTTCTGATGTATACCGAGCAGTGGAACTGCCAGCCATCCTGTCTATGCTGATGTCACCCTGTCTGCAGTGAGGGACTTTTCAGTCCCTGGTGCCTTCTTTAGGCAACAAGTATTAGTTGAGTCAGACAGTAAGCTACATGCTGTGAAGGGCAGAGAGAAATGGAAAATGTTTTTGTTCCCAAGAAGCTTATGTTTGTGGAGAAGAGATGCTTGCTTGCATATGAAAAGCTCATGAACAATTCGTAATACCAATAAGAAACTGCAAATCATGACTGCCAAATAACAAATACAGAAAGTGTTTCCAGGGTTTGGAGGGAGAACTGAACATTCAGGGTGGGGTGACATCTTGAACACAAAGCCTTAGGAGGTAGCAAACCCGAGATCAAGCTCAGGTCTGTACTGAGAAGGCTGTGTGGCGAGTGCGGGTGTTTTATGTCTTGGGAGAGATCTTTGGACAAGTTAGTTGGACACAGTTGTGGAAGAAATTGACGGGAAGGTTAATGGGGTTGGGTGCCATCCTTTGGGCACTAAGCATCCGTTCTGAAGGTCTGTTGGAATGCTGATGTGATAAAGTTCCTCTTCCTCTTTTATTTATTAAATAAATAATAAATTTTTATTTATTACTGTTAGTTTTCAGGGTTGTCACAATGCCAAGTGCCACAGAATTAACTCTGTTTCTGTAGGCCGCCAGTCTGGGGCCGAGGTGTTGGAGGGTGGGCTCCCTCTGATGCTTCTCTCCTCCCTGGGTTTTCAGATTGTCCTCCCTCTGTGTCTGTCCATATTTCTTCAGCTTGCAAAGACAATCAGTTTTACTGGATTAGGGCCCACTCTAATGACACATTTTAACTTAATCACCTCAACAGAGACCCTGTCTCCAAATATGGTCACGTTCTGAGGTAAGAGGATTAGAACTTCAGCATATGAATTTGGGGAGGGGACATGATTCAGCTTATAACAAGCATATTCAAGGTTCTGTGCTAGGCATGGGGGGTGTATGCAAGTGGCTGTCACACTGACCTTGCCTTCACGTGAGACAAGATGTGCACATAGGACATGGCAAGTTGTAATGGCAAGTGGGCAGGAAGAGCCCTTGGGACACAGATCAAGTGTCAACGTCCTCTAGCAGAAGGAGCAGCTGTTTTCATGGGCAAGAGACAGGGATGTCTTCCTGGGGGGTGGTGGCATCTGGAGGCAGCCTTGGCAGTAGGACCAGTGTAATAATTTGTAGCGGTTGTTGAAAGCTTGAGAGAGAGGGCCAAGCTTAAGTGGCAGGTAGATGAGTATCTGGGAGACACAAGTGGGTGCTCAGTGTGAGTGGTCACGTGAAGTCTTGGTGGGGGAGGGGAGAGGCAGCAGAGAAGCTGCCCGAGGACACGGGAGGTGAATGGAGGTGAATTAAGGGGTAGTTAGAAAGGCAGGGAGTTAGGACAGCAGGTGTCCGGAGAAAGCAAGCAAGCTGAGGGTTTCAAGGAGTGGGAGGTGTCAGAGAGGCCTCCCCGTGGGCTTTGAGAGTGCAGTTTCATGACAGCAACTCAGGCCAGACGTGGGGAAGTAGGCAGATGGCACAGCCATGGCAAGTCCATCGGTCAGTGAACATGGCAGATGGATTACAGAGGACCCGACTGAGGCTGGATGGGGTAGTGGTAGTGAAGCATGTTTGGTGAAACTTGGGCATGTCTCCAGGCCACAGGAAAGGAGCTGAGGAAGCGGGACAGTAACTGGAGGACATGGCCGTGGGAATGCAGGGATCAAGGTCCTGGAGAAGGGAGGATTTCTAACGTGTGGGACAGGGACTCTGTGCAGAGAACCAAGAAGAGGAGGAACCAGGGTAGACCACTAATTATGCAAATTGGGGGAGCCAATTTTATTAAAAAAATATACAAAACCAGAAACACAAAACTGCCTGTGCTCCCTTGCAAGCAAGGCTTCCTGAAGATGAAACCTGATTAGCTTCTGGGTTGACCCTTCACTAGGAAGAGGACAGCTCTCTAAAGTTGGTGGGAAGTGAGAACTAGAGGAGAGAGAGGAAGGGACATGGTGGGGTGAGGGGAGAGGGTGGGGCCCCTCAGACCTCATGGCCTCACTTTGATCAGAGTTATACACAGATGTGTGCTGGTGAATAAGTAACAGCTGCTGATCTGGGCTGAGATAGGGGAACCCTGATTTGTAGCATCTGCCAGTTTCTGTGGTGTAAATACTCCCGTGCTGGCTGATTTCAAGCTACAAACATGAGCATTGAACCTAGACTGTGGACCAAGGCTGCAGTCAGCTTTCTGCAACGTCACAGAGAGCAAGGGCAGGAGCAAGGGTCTGGGAGGGGGAGGCCTGTGTTAGCACCCACTATGGGCTGGCAGGATGCAGGTTGTGAAGGGCCAGTGCTACAGCCTCAGACAATTGCTCCTCTTTCTTACAGACCCTGAACGAGATTTTCCAGACTGAAATGACCATAGAATCCATCAAGAAGGCCATCAAAGATAAGACTGCCTTCCTGAAGGTGGCTCAGACCAGGCTGGACGAGCGTACGAGGAGGCCAAACATAGAGCTCTGCAGAGACATGGCCCAACTGCGGTGAGGCGGGCGGCCGGGCAGCCTGTGGGGAGCGGGGGACACACAGGCTCAGTCTGGCTCACCCT